GCTCAAATGATCATCTTTGATTCTTTTAGAAAAAAAAAACTCTTCCGTGAACAACTTTTAAGGAAAATCACAACGAGTTTAAAAGTGTACCAATTGAAAATAAGAGAAATAATTTAGGAATGCGCTAATACGTAACGAAATTAAATATTATAATTAATTAAATTAAAATTCGAAGTTTTGCTGCATCACAGCCTAGCTTAATATAATTTGGAGCTCACGAAGTTTTGACCTGCAATAGCCGAAAAAAAAAAAGACAAGGGGACAAGTAAATCAGTTGAATGGGACAACTAAAATTCCCAGTAATACTATAATGTGGATTCATTTTAGTTTGGGGAATGAATGGCAGTGTACTTGGGAATTGCGCATGTGGGAAGCCCATGTGCCTTAATTGAGCTCCACACGTGCCTTCTAGTCCCACTTCATTTAAACTTTTATCAGAGCTTATTTTCATAATATAGCCCTTATTTAATTTTGTTAAAAATTAACTTTCTAATAAATTTTTTTTATCTAAATTAATAAAATGTGTAGTTAAAAATTTGATGTAAAAATTAATTTTTGACTTTAATTTACATTTATATCAACTTTTTTTTAACTAAACCAAACATGAACTGAGTTTCCAATTTTTTTTTTTTTATACGTTGCGTACATATGAATGCTTGCGTGAAATAAATGAGATTTATAATTTTGTATGTTTACGTACAACTAAATGATTCTTGACAAAATATGGGTGGCATCTTAGAACATGAAATACTACTTTCTCTATTTTTCCCTTTTTATTTCCTTTTTTGTGTTTTTAGGTACTTTTTTTATTTATTTATTTAAATTTAAATTTAAATGTAGTTTTGTATTTTTACGTCTACACCAACATGTTGGATTTCCAAAAAAGTTTAGCAACCGATATAAATTCAAGACTTTTGTCTATTTTGATACTATATTTAATATTCATTTAGTTTTTAAATTTTTACGTGAAATAGTTTAAATACAATTTAAGTAGGGACGCAAGATTACTAATTCCAGAATTTCGTCATAAAATATTGTTATAGTTTTTCTTTTTCTTATTATTTTGAGTATATATGCTATTTAAGTCCATGTAAGTATCATAAAATTTTGTCATAAAATATTGTAAGTACATTCAACCAAACTATGCAGTACATTTTTTTATATTTTTAATTGCCAAGTTAATCATAATGTATCATAAATATGATAAGAAGTCAAATCCAGTTGGATTAGTCATGATATTCTTTTAATTACGGTGGATTGGTCACCTTTATGCAGCCTTAAAAATTAAAAATATGCAAAAACAATTTTTAATTAGGATGATTGCGATAATGGAATTTGGGTGGAAAGAAAATGAATTATAGGGAATTGAATTGTTTAAAACTTGTTTTATTGAAAATTTACAATTAATTATGTTTGATTAATATAATTTTTCACTTGGAAAATATTGAAATTTTGGATCTTTTAGTATTCGTTCAGCTTTATTTTCCAAGAAAATTATCCATCAAAGGTATATAATTTGTTACAATTGGGTATATAATTTGTTTCAATTACACAAAAAAAAAAGTTGCCTAGAAAACCAAAAATCACTAAACTAATGAGAAAACCAATTCAAGGAAAATATGAAAAATAGGGCCACGTGAGTTATAAGTTGGAACACTAATTGCCTAGAAAATTTTTCCTATTAACCAGCCTAAAATGTGGAAAATGAAAAAAATTCGTATCAAACAGGGCCTTAATGAAATTTGTTTTTGACACACATGAAATATATCGATCCATGAAAATTGACAAGAGATGATCTTGTTGCAAAACAATCAAGATATCAGAATAACTCTAATACCAATTGTTGTTGAACAAACCATCAAATTGAGATATTGAAAATATATGACAAATAATAATGAAATATTTGATCTAACAAAAGAATAAAGAAGATAATAATATGACGGATGAATTAAGAAATTTTATTAACTCAAAAATAATGGAGAAGAGAGAAAAATTACAATAGATGATATAATTTCAGTAATCTATTTTCTCAAATTATAAATTGTATAGAAGAGTCTAGTATTTATAGGGAATACGTAGGAGATGTCCAAACCCACCCAGTAAAGTTGTTGATGAAGTATGATACCATAAAATTGTCCAAAACAAATTTCAACTCTCA